TCGATGCGCTGGGGTCGCCCGGTGGCCAACCGGGCGGAATGACCGGCCAGGCGGCCCGGCCCCCCACCCGGGCGACGAGCCGGGCGCCGGGCGACCCGGAGTTCAGCACTGGGAATTTCTGCATTTGTGTCCATAGCAAAATCTGCAGAAAGGCCATCTTTGACTCTGTTCAAAGTGGATAAGGAGCCGCTTTCGGAGGGGCTCCTGCGAGGGAGAGCCAGGCCATGCTCCGCTTGCCCGTGGGTTGCCTCTCTTTGCTTTAAGGACTTCAGTTCTGCTGTTGTCATAAGGTGTCTTTTTTAAAATTTTAAACTAAGCTATATTCTTCTCTCCATTATACCTCACACTACCTATCCTTGCATCTACAAACAGGGGTCGGCCTTATCGAGAGCAACTGAGTGTGAACGCTGAACCCTAACCCCTAGCAAGGGATGAAAGGGACGAAGGCAAAGCCTTTACCAAGACCAACCAGGGGGTGCTATCCTTGCATCTTACAAACAGGGGCCGGCCTTATCGAGAGCAACCGAGTATGAACGCTGAACCCTAACCCCTAGCAAGGGATGAAAGGGACGAAGGCAAAGCCCTTACCAAGACCGACCAGGGGGTGCAAGCCAACTATCTCAGCTGGTGAACCTGAAGCACGCCGTGGGGAATCGAACCCACGATCTCCTGAATGCCACTTGCGTGCTCTATGAACTTGAGCTAGACCGAGGGCCCATCATAGGGTGTCATTATAATGGGGCTTTAGGCAAAATAACTGTTCAGTCTGCTCTTTGCGACTTTTTTTTTTTCATAACAGAAAAATTCATTACTGATCAGCGCTTGAGGCTGTGGACCTCCCAATTCAACCCAGAGTACTGTCAGCATCAGTCTTCGCGACTTGGTAACAAGGCACTACTCATGTGGGGATGTAGCTGCATATACAAAAACTCGGGTATAATGTTTTTAAATTTGTGATTACCAACCTTGGTTCATAATGGGGGCCTTGAGTGCCAGTTCTGGTTGGGCCAAGTAATTGGTCCAGTAATGCGTGTTATATAGGTCTGGTGTGTGACCTTTCTGTTTGGAGTGCAGGCCCAGTCCCATGGAAGCGTCTACCGGTACTGGTGGCTGTGGGGCTTTTGCATCCGACCTTTTGGGAATAGGGATGGGGATGGGACTCGTTACTACCCTGCATCCCACAAAGTCCTGCACAGCAGCACCTCACATCAGTTTCTTTCTGTGAAGTGAGCTGTCAGTCTGTTGGAGTGGATTTGCTTGCTGTGCTGTCCGTTCTGCTGCTGTGCTATTGTTTTTTCGAACACCTCTGAAGATTTCTGTCCTCCACTATCTACTTAACATGGTATTGGGGAAGGCCCGGCGAGGCAACAGGCTTTTCAGAGAACCTTCAAGTGATTTGCAGTTTGGGAGCAATGCTCAGAGTAGGAGGATTTACCATGATATAGTAGCCTCCCTTCCCCTTTTGGGTCCTCTTTCGGTGAGCCCTCCTTTGGTCACGATTTAGGGAACCTCTCTGGCCCAAGGTTCTGCTGACATTCTTTTGCTCACAACTTGGATTTCATTCCTTGCATTGTGGTTTGAACAGTCTTCTCCAACATATTGAAGACAACCCATCTGCAGATACTCGCAGATGCGGATGAGCAACAAATGGTCAAGCAAGTGCAGGTAAGCAATCATCCATGCAGTCTTCATTCTTCTTACCGTTGCCTTAGTGGCTGCTCCCTCATCTTCTTTGGGAATAATGGGGAGCATGCCATCGTCATATGGCACAATCATCACAGGCACCAGTCAATTTAGCAGCCAGATTGTCTTGCTTCCTGCCCTAGGTCCTAGTTTGGTGCTCTGCTCTTTGGGAGACCATTACCCCACTTTTGTGTCCACAAGATTGTCACAATCAGATAACAGAGAGACCCACAGTTTGTTCCTTCTAAGCCGGTTGAGGGAACTGTTTCATGATAACCAAAGTCACAAAGTTACCGCCATTTATTTGATCACGAAAACTCAACTTTTTTAGATTTGATAGTTTTGCTATACATATTTTTACAAAATATAATATATCGTCAATATATTGTTTTAACACTAATACTAATTCATACTAATAGAATAAAAATTGAACAACAAAAATACAATAAAATCGTGAAATAAATGAATGTTTTGATATTTGGAATTATCGAAATAAATTAGCCATGTTTGAATCATCTAGGTCAGCATTTGATATATTCTGTAGTAGACTCTGTACTCTTCTTCTCCCTTTTTTTTTTTTGGGTTCGTAACTTCGTACTATATGTTTATTGCCGAAGGTTAAACTACTGCTTGAACCAGTCCTGAACCTGTGACAGAGTGTCCATGCATTGTTGTTCGTCTTATGAGTAGGTTGCTTGCGTTTTACTTTGTCTCCATTCTAAACAGGAAGCATGTAAAATCATATTATCCACACGAGGATTCAACGCTAGGAGTAAGTGAAACGATGAGGGCCCCTAAAAGAGCCCAGTCGATAAGACCACTCAGATTGTCAAACAATGGAGCACAAATTTGTAGCATACGTGTTCTTGCTTATTTTGGTTGGTATCAACTTTCAACAAGTTTTTAGTTGGTTCTTACATCTGTTTAGAGGTGAATAAACAGCATTAATTATTAACCTTCAAAGTATGTGCCATCAGGTAATTGGCCAGGTATAGACAACACATTCCTGGTTGGTAGTGATGCTATTCTTGGTTTCTTTTCGGGGGAGGGGGGGCGTAAAAAATGTGGACCATTTCTCGATTTGTGTGTCATCCTTGCGCAAAGGCCATGCAAATCTTCACTTTGTATCATTACTGTTTTCAGTGGTTTTTCCGTTCGTCTCAAGTTTCTGCTGTCGATGTGTTGTCGGCTCCTCCTAAATCGAGTGAGTAGGTGTGTGTCTGGTGATTGCAGGAATTCTTTGGCGATTATCACGCTCTGGATCCTTACCACTTCACCCTCGACCTGCCCCAGAACCATTTGTGCATGATGACATCAGTATTGGAGCCTGTGAACATGGGAAAGATCATGGATCGTGTGGTTGAGGGCATAGCATCAGTCTTCCTTGCGATGAAGAAGCGGCCAGCAATTAGACATCAGCGAACTTCAGATATAGCACGGCGCATTGCACAGGACTGCAGTGTATGTTTTGTTTCTGAGTCTTCCAGTCCTCCCTCCTCCTCTTCGTCCCTTACCGTCCGTCCTCCTACAAACTTTCAGATACCCAACAACCTTTCCAGTAAGTTCAAGATTCAGATTTTTCCCTTGCATTATGGACAGGGCTGTCTGCGACAATTTAGGAAGTGTCTTGTTATGAAAACTTCATTAAATGACTCGAACTTGATAAAAAAAGTGTGTGTGAAGGATCCAAATTTCAAAAGCAATTTGGTTGGAAAATCGTAAGCAAGAGAAGTCGTGTAGCAAATGAGTTACTGGGGAAAATCTATAGGAAACGACAAGGGAAGCTGCTATGTGACTGGTTGAAGTGACAATTCAGCCGAGTATCATCATCGTCCGATACATACGCAAGATGACAGAGCTGATATGGAGAGAAATTCACACCAAGGTAAAGAGAAATATGGATGGAGGAATCATGGCAACGAGAAGAACGGAATACGAACAATCCAGTCTCTTGCCAACTCGTCAAGTCCAACCAGAATCAAACAAGTAGCGAAGAAGAAGAACCACGTATAAAACGCCTTGAGTAAACTGGAAACACCAGTTCGACAAGCCTATAGGCCCTGCATCATCGCCACAGCATCATCCCGGTCACCGTTTACCTGCATGGCTGTGGTGCCCATTCAGAAGTCCATGCGTCCAGCCCTACAACCCTTCCGGACATCAGCACCAGGTCAGAACAGCCTCAAAAGACTCAGCGCCAATCCCAGGATGAAGAAGGGAGCTGGCACTTGAAGAAGAAGAAGAAGAAGAAGTAGAAGAAGAAGTGCTGCCCTTGAAGAAGAGGATATGGCAGTGCCTAACCCCAAGGGCACAGATATGGATGTTGCCCTGCCCAGCAGATGAAGGACCAGATTCACTGCCTCGATAAAGACAGTACCGGCTCCCAGCTAAACTGCTCCTCCAGCAGCCTGGCGGCGTCAACAAGTATCACCGACCAACGAGAGCTAACAACCTATCAGTCCTGCTGTATATGTAGCACTAGGGCTGACCCAACACACTGGACTCACCTAGGACCTAACATCCTAACAGTTATCGGTCTGTATTTCTGCCAGTGGCAATGGCACCAGTCTGATGCACGATCGCACAGCGGTCAGTTTAGGCCTAAAAGGAGTTTAGTATGAGTAGTACCCGTTTTTCCAGTAGTTACTGTAGATAAGCCCCTGTCGGTTCAGGCTCAGGAACCAGAACTTGGGAATTTGTTCAGAAATAATATACCGCGATTATTGTCACAGCCTGTCTTAGAAATTGCTAGAACATGTCCTTTGGGACATCCGTTAAAATTGGAAGGATACGGAGAAGATTAGCATGGCCCCTGTGCAAGGATGACACACATACATCGAGAAATGGACCAATTATTATTGAAAAAAAAGAAATTGCCAGAACATTGCACATCAGTCCCCACTCAAGACGGACAAAAACGTTGTCCCATCCTGTTGCTCGTTACTCACAGTAAACCTTCCCTGGAGAAGAGAAGTTTGGCTCGTCTTTTGCTCGGAACTAATCTCCTGGTTTCAATGTTATACTGCGCTAGACTTGATCTATGAATCCATGTCCCTCATGATGGAAAAAGGACCAGAGTCCCATCGCGTTATTCCATGATAATATGTTCAGTGCACTTATCTTTTTACTGTTGCTGCTTTTCCCCTCGTTCGTTGATTTGTGCAGAAGCTAATGTACGAGCAAGAGAGTCAACTGTTTGACTTCAGACGCTCAGAGAATGCTGCACTGCTGCTTGTGATGGACCGCCGTGATGATCCTGTGACACCCTTGTTAAATCAGTGGACGTATCAGGTAACTTTGCCATCGGAGGCTCTTTTCTCCAATGAACTTGGGGGATGAGCACTATCATCTTTTTGTGTAGTTGGTTTTCACAGCTCTGCGTCTATGTGATCTAGTGCTCCCTTTCCAGTTATCTTCAACTTCACTTGGAGAGAGATTTGCATGGCTAGCGTCAACGCACTTGTAAGAGAGAACTTTGCCTAAGTACTGGAATCAGCCTGTAGAATGAAGTTCTATGAACAAGAATTTTCAACCTTGTTTTGCTAGCTCGAGCTCCCGACCTCCTTCTGTATACTCCATTGGCATGCCCTGAGATTGCAGCGAGTTTGACGTAACATTGATGCCATGTTGGGATCCTCGTGTGTGCATGCCGTAACATTGATGTATCCCCAACCCATTGCAGACGCTGAAAAAAATTAAACATGAAGTGCCACTAGCCCTCCAGCATTTTATCATTGCGGTTGCCTCCCGCTGGAAAATGTTCACCCTGCTGCAGGTGCTGATGCGTGGAATGCATGTTTGTGTGTGTGTGGGCGCCTGCGCTTTGGAGACACACACGGAGAGAGAGAGAGAGAGAGAGTAGTGGAGCTTTGTTAATTACTTAGGAATGGGAGAGCTATTGATAGTCGTTGGAGGGAGGAGAGTATATGTGTGGCTCTCGAGGATCCAGAGCCTTGGGGTTTGTTGGCATGGAAAAAAATGACCACGCAGGATGTGGACTGTTTTGTGGTGGCTGGATGTGTACTGTGTGCACAGGCCATGGTACATGAACTGATAGGGCTGAAACATAATCGAGTGGACCTGAGGGGTCGAACAAGGGTTCCGAAAGACCAACAGGTAAACATTCTCCATGCCTTGTTCTTGTTGTTCACCTTTGTGAGTATTAATAACCTTCCTTGCACTCTACTTCTAAGCTATATTTCCTCTTCCTTGCTTTGTCTAGTGCATGTTTTGCCGTCGGTTACGTATCAGTGACAGACAAAAGGTTCGCGAGTTAGTCCCTTCCTATGAGAAAGGGTTGCTTCTGTCTTCACCCGAATACAATGCCCGGTCATTATCGCTGTATACTAGACTGAAAGTTGCACCAAATACACAGCAATAATGACTGGGCGGCGGACATTCGATTATGGTGAAGACGGTGGTGCATTGCACCCTGCTTTGTATGAATGGCCTTTCAGGTGCCTGTTATGCCTTGGCCTTCTTCTATTCAAGCAGTCAGCAAAATGTCTTAACTTCTAAATCAGATTTATGGTATCTGACCTGCAAGCATACTTGTTGGACACATCCATCGACAACGAAAGGGGAAAGCATGTACAACACAAACATATGGAATATGTGCAGGCATAGCCTGTGGCATTCCCTCAGCATTGTCCGCTGTTTCAGAGTATATCTATATCTGCTAGCCAAGCATTAAGGGTAGGCAGAGCCCTCTGGGATTAAGTCAGGGCTTCCCAACAAGGTCCATTTGCATGGGCAGTGTCCAGCTTGCCTGCCCTGGATACAACTCGGCATGGTAGTGCGGTGTGTACCAGGACTTGGTCAACCTCTGGGGGTGCAGAGTGAGCACCAGTTCTAAACAAGTCATTGTCAAGAGGGATGGAAATTTTGAGTCGTTCTCGGGTATGTCCAGGGATTCGGTCCAACCTCAAGGGGTGTTTGTTGAGTAGGCACCAGTTCTAAACAAGCCAGTGTCGGGACGGCATGAAATTTTGAGTCATGCCTGGCCAGAGCTGAAGGACACCAGCAGAAGGGATAGACAATGAGGTAGATTCGTTGATGATAAAAAAGATGTCGCCATGAAGCGGTAAGGCAGTGGTCCAAAGTGACCACACCTTGTGCCCCTTCGTCGGAAGCATATCCATCCAGATCGGTTGCAGGAAGGAGTCAGCAGCTCGCATAAAACATTCCGGATATGAAAAGGAGGAGAGCTCTGCATGAATCCCGCCGCTCTGCTGAAACCAGGCAAACCCAGATCTGTGCATGTGCTCTTGGTTCATCACCCTGGGATGGTATCTGCGCAAAAATGGGGAACGGTTGTAAGCTAATGGAAGGTTCATAACCTGGCTTAAATCCTGTTTGATCTCCACGAAAAAACACATGGACTGATGAGATCGAAATCTGTTGGGGAAGGAAGTCTTCATCTTATATACTCCTAATGGTTAGTAAGGTCGTCAGTGCATGTCAAAGCAGAGGCCTCAGAAGTTTGGTTGGCACCCCGCTTAATTTGTCGAGCGGATAAGAGAATAGTCCTTCCGTCACTCTCAAGTATGTGACATCGTCGAAGAGTCAGACCTGATTATAAGGATGTTGTTGTCAATTGCTTCGACCGGCTAAGACTTCAGTGCAATGAACCTCCTAGTTCAACACCAATGAGTGCACATATTCACCCCACATGCATGTATGAGTTCACACGGAATTCACACTGGAGACCAGAGAAATGAAGACCAGGTAGCGCAGCTTATCTTTTCCAGAAAGTATTACAAGAGCAATAAGAGTTCGGGTCACCAGCGCTCATCAGCGCGTGCCAATAGGTAACCAATAATCAGCATAAACTCTCAGGTAAGTATCTCTTCCCTTCTGTTTTTCCCTCTTATGTTTCTCTCCACCTTGCTGGTCTTCTCCCTAGCTATGACCTCGCTGCGTCTTCTCTCCGTACATGCGTTCACACTCACTAACTTCTACTTCATGGATCTACTCTGAATACACCCACCGTCAACCCTACTAACCCCTCTGGAGTCTACTATTAACAACTAGCACTAGCACTTCTGCACTGGCGCAGCTATGGATGCCTTCTCCCGGCCAGCGCTATCTTCCTCTCTCTCCCTCACTTACGCAGCGCTCTGGCCTCAGCGCTCTGCTCCTCACTTCAGCGCACAAGTGCACCAGCACTTCCACACTTCTTGCGAATGAGCAATCTGCCCGAAAGTGAGGCTGGCCAGTCCTTTTGTAGTCTTGGTTTGCACTTCAACTCGTGCCAGCCTCTATTTCTTGGGTCCTGACTGGTTCCGGTTCCACATCCCCACGGCCTGTCTGCTTCTGAATGTCAAGGCCTGGAACCTTCCCGAATTTCCATTGGACTGCTGCTGCTTGGGCCTTTGAGTCGTGACTTTTCACTTGTGAACATGACTTTTGACTGTGGACAGTGGCTCCTGCCTGTGGGTCACAACTTTTGCCTGTGATGCTACCTTTACTCGTGGGATGTGATCATGTGACTCTTCGGTATGACTTTTCACTAAGAAGCGTGACTCTTGCCATTGAGACATGACCTTTGCTTGGCGAATCTGCCTTTTCACTCGTGGCATGTGACTCTTCTGAATGGCTTTTTATTATGAGACGTGACTCTTGTCCCTGAGATGTGACTGTTTGCTGGGTGCCTGTTGGACCAGACTGCTGAGGTACCCGATTGTGACTTTTCTGAGTTTGACGAACTCGGTCTTTTCTTGACCTGGGCATCTGACCCTGAGATCCGAATTTGGGGTCTGCATCATGGAAGGCCTTTCATCAGGGGAAAAGGTGATCAATTTCAGGCAATAAAAGTTATACAACATGTGAATTGGCTTTGTGTGCAGGAAGTGGTGCTATCATCGGAGCAGGACCCGTTCTTCAAGGCAAACATGTTCGAGAACTTTGGCGATTTGGGCATGAACATCAAGAAAATGGTGGATGATTTTCAGCAGCGTGCAAAGAGCAATCAGAATCTTCAGAGCATAGGTAGGTATACACAGTGGGCGGCTCCTTCATTGTTCTTGCACTAGGCCAGCGGCCCTCAGAAATTGAGATCTGTGTCCTCTCCGTTGGCGCTTCTGCATGGGATTGCCAATGTAGCCTCTCCGTATCTTATATAGAAAAAACTGGGCAGCAGCCATTCCTAACCTCAATTTGGTCTCATTTGTTTTGGTCATTTATGTCCGTCCTTTTGGGGGGCTGGGGGATTTTTTTTTTTTTTTTTTTTTTTTTGTAGGGACAGGAGTTTGCCTTTGGGCTTCAGGAGAGAACCCTAGTTGGCATGTGGTTATGGCCGTGGAGTGAAGGCGTATATAGAGTCATCTTAGTGTCCCTTGCGTTTGACTGAAGGGTTGCTTTTGTTGCCGTTGGAATTCCAGAGGACATGGCGCGCTTCGTGGAGAACTACCCAGAATATCGAAAACTGTCGGGCAATGTCTCAAAACATGTCACTTTGATGTCAGAGCTGAGCCAGATTGTGGACGAGAGACAGCTGATGTCCGTTTCGCAGACAGAACAGGAACTGGCGTGCAATTCAGGTCAGGCTGCCGCTTTTGAGGTAACCCTCTGCCTGGAGCTCGCTTGCACTCGCTAGAATATCCTCAAGGCAGTCTCCCACCCGCAGATACATAGGCAGACCTTTGTACACATCTGTGCCTGACTGTTGTCTATGAATGCGAGGTGTTGGTTCTGTCTGAGGACTTGTGTATGTCCGTGTGGATCGATCAATGCACAAAAGGGCCTCTCTTTCTCTGTGCTGATGTCCCCCTGAAAACCACCGATCTCCTGACCTACCGTCTTCACCCCAATAGAACGCCAGGTCATTATAGCTGCATTTGGTGCAGCTTGCAGTCCAGATACGGCGATAATTACCAGGCGTTCTATTCCAGTGAAGATGGTAGTTTGCCGGAACTCCATGGGTTTTGTCTAAACCAGCAGTACGTCTAGTCCTCGTCTTTGAAAGTAAAGCAAGCTGGGCCAAGCGTACGGAGAAGCTGCACCTGAATAATGCAACCGTGAAAATCACATCGAAACGATTGGAAATGAAAAAAATAAGGAAGAAAAATAGGAAAAGAGGTGTTTTGGGAGTGACATAACACTCGGCAGCCTGCCTGGGTGAAGTCCAAGTGAGGTGCCTGGCAATCCTGGCAGCGCAAAATTAAAAAAGGACCAGTAGGGGCCTGTACGGAGGTGTTTTGGGAGCGACACAACACTTGGCAGCCTGCCTGGGTGAAGTCCAAGTGAGGTGCCTGGCAATCCTGGCACAAAATTAAAAAAGGACCAGCACGGCCCCGTACGGCTCTGCCACGCTTGCTGAAGGAATATGCAGAATGCAATTTAGTTAGCCTTCGCAGTTACTGAATTATGATGTTTTTCTAGTACTGCAAAAAAAGGGAAAGTAATAAAAAGTATAGACGCAAACTAAAAGAGCATATGAGTTTAACGGAGGTCATAGACCAGGTGGTCCTTGTTTAAGAGCGTTTGAGTGCTCGTAATCGTTCTGCTAGGAGTTGCATGTGCACCATTAAAGCAGACGAGTCAGGTGCAACACGCACCAATTTTTTAGTAGTGAGGCATCATCATCGAATTGACTACCGTTTTCACCCGAAAATAACGCCTGGCCATTATATTCAACTTACCCTAAAAAGATCAGATTTTCGTTTTTACTCACTTTTTCTCAAATAGAACGCCCCTTCGAATATAACGCCCGGGCGTTGCATTCGAATAGAATGCCCAGGCGTTCTTTTTGAATGTTCCATGGGCAGAGTGCCTTGTAGAGGTACTATACATGGGTTTGAAAGGGCGGGGAGGGGGGTATACATCGGTTTTAAAGGGGGTTGAAAGGGGTTTTGACTTCCAAGGGGCGTATTTCGGTTTGATTTTTTGTTTTTATTTTTTATTTCCGAGCTTATAGGGAATTCTGTAGTGACCCTCAGCCAAAAGATGGCCACATTGCAATTCTGGACGACTTTCTTTTTTTTTTTCAGAATTTTTTGAGTTTTTGTTTTTCGGAATTTTGGGCCCGCGACTTGACACCAGTTTACTGAATATAATGCCCGGGCGTTATAAACAAATATAACGCATGGCGGGCGTTGTATTCGTATACAACCCCCAGGCGTTATTTCGGGTCAAGACGGTAGCCCCAGGCAATGCGGAGCTGTGTTATCTAACCAACATTGTGAAAGTCGCTGACAGCGGGCGAATTGATATCCGCCGAGTTTGGGTTCTCGTGCGTCGTTGGCCTTGTGGTCGCACGGTCCTACGGCTGAGCTCTGGAGTAGGCTGTGTTTGCTGTGAAATGCCAATTGTTGTTCTCCTTGGATTGCGGTCAATCCGCTGGATCTTTGCACAATTTTTGCATCGCGGGGCTGCAACGGCCCGCTGTGTTTATTGGAGGGAAGATTTGCAAACGGTTCTTTTGGAGATCTGACATCCGCTTGACAGGTTCTGTTTTTGTCTCTTTTTGAGAATTTGGGGAAAACAAAGAAAGCCATTGCCTTCGCCTTTGTCCTCCGGATGCAAGCATTCGTGAGTGTCAGGGGAAGGGAACAGAAAGAGGAGGGGAAGCGGAGATGTCACCACTTTACTGTTCATTTCCTGGCGTGGGGAGCAGGAAATCAACACCATTGCTGTTTTCGTCCTTATTTCTTTTTTCCAAACTGCTGATATGGACTTCCCGGTTTGTCATGGTTTAAAGTGGGATGAGGAGGAAGGGGAGGGGAGAGGGGTTCATGGCGCACGGCATCCCATTGGTTCCTTGCCAGTATGAACATATCAGTTTCCCCTTCCTGCTTTTGCTTATAGAAGAATGCTGCATTGTGCTTTCCTTTTTGTTGTTGTCATTATTTGATGTGAGAGTATTGTCATATTGATTGGGCCTCCCCTAGGGAGGGTTCACCCCATACACATACTGACAGTGAGAAGAAATAGAGAAGGGAGATCAAGAGGAAGGCAGAGAGAGAGAGAGAGACCTCGATCATGGAGTAAGCAATCAGAGTGACAGCAGGGGTTGTCAACGAGAGAACAGTCGTCGTTGTCGGGACTACCTTCTTCACCCGAATAGAACACCCAGTCATTGTAGCTGTATTTGGTGCAACTTTCAGACCAGACACAGCAATAATGACCGGGCGTTCTATTCAGGTGAAGACGGTAGGTCTTCATCATCATTGGTGTTATCTTCTTCACTATTCGGTCATCGACTCATTGGAGTTTTCATCATCATCATCATCATCTTGAAAATCATCATGTGGGGCTGCACTGTGTACAGAACTGTTGGTCAGTCAGCCGGTGTGTGTTTGTGTATGGGTCTGTCTTTCTGTCTGTATGCGTCTGTCTCAGTGGCACGGTCGCTCCGTCTGTCCGTCTGTCGGTTGGTTGGCTAGTCGGTCAGTCAGCAGGTCGGTCCGTCGGTTGGTCCGTCAGCCCCTCTGTAGCTCCATCTGTCCCCAAACGTTGCATACAGATGGGAATCGGAAGTGCTGTTTGATTCTGTGCAGCCCTGGCGTGGCTGTGGCACTTGCAGAGCTATTGCGGTTGAGATAGTCGTTGTAATCAGTGCCGTAATCCCTCTGGTGAGTTACTCTGTTCCACCGGTATTTTCGGCGTGAATGCAATTCAACACATTGATTGTGTGTTGTCGATTGCCAGTAAGAGCGCATATGGTGAGAAATCAAACTGATCTGTTTGTAACTTTGTCTAGAACACAGCTTCTTATCATACTATGATCAGCAATGTGTCACTTATGGAAGCCAACATATCACTTTATCTTATGGAGAGACTAAGGATGGAATGGTTGTGTCTTGATGTTTATACCAGCAGTCTTGGTGTGTTGCCTGGCAACATGGCAGCCAAACAATGCCCTTCACCTTTGAGGCTGTTATGTGAAACAAGTGGTCCATGATGTGCAAAAGCACATAGACAACTGGTTGAAGGAGCAGTATTCTGGGAACATAACTGTTTAGTTGTTGACATTGTTGAGGTTGATGGTTTTGCAGGCTGTTATGGGACAGCTTGACAATCGAATGGTTACAGACCTGGACCGGTTGCGGCTTGTCATGCTATACTCGTTGCGGTATGAAAGAGATAACTCAAGGCAACGGGAGCAGCTCATGACCAAGCTGGCATCGAAGCCTTCAAAGTTCAAACCAGGGGTGAGCAGTGCACATCTTTTACTGGCAATATGATGCATTTTCATAGTGAAACTCACCCTTGTTTGCAGGATGGGTTTCTGTGGAGCAATGGCTTCTCTCAGTCTCTGTGAGCAAGGAGGCAAGAACATATCGCAGACAATGAGTTGAAACCGCCAGTACGCCTGAGCCAGTAGGCGATGCACCGCACACCAAGCTTTTTCAAATGGCCAGTGGCGCACTGCTTTTTTTTATTTGGGCTGTGCCGCCAGCATTGTGGTCTGGTAGCCCCGAGCTGCGAAAATTTTGGAGTCAGCAACTCGCGGTTTTCTACAAGGCTGGTGTTTTCATTCCTGTTATCCTGTTTGTGTTGTCGGCTCTGTGTTTTGTCAACATTACGTCTTCAGTCGGTGCTGTGTCCGCCAATGTATAGAGATGGGCAATTCGACAATTTGTGCTGCTGATTTAGTGGTCGTAAACTCTCCTCTGCTCGACAGCTATGAGTAATCATTGTTAAGCTTGACTGAGTCAAACAATTTCCGCTGCGAGTTGTTTCACATGTCATCATCCTGACAGTTTGTTTGGGTTTGGTTTCTTGCAGCTGGTGTACACACTCCTCAGACATTGTGGCATGGAGAAGAGGACTGGTGACCTTTTTGGAAATCGGGATATCTTCAACAGGGCGCAGAACATGGCACGAAGACTGAAAGTAAGTGTGGAGGGTGTAAGAAGAAAAGCTGGTATTTGAGCAGCAGCCCATTGTGTATCTGCTATTGTGCAGGTGTGGGGATATACGAACAAAAGCTGGTATTTGAGGACACTGTAATGAGACTTGTCTCAACTTCACTCGCGACATGCATAGATGTAGACGTCGATGGTAAACAACGTCTGCAGCACGAATATCAGCAACAAACTTGAGATTGCGCCTAGTGCCCACACAGAAAACTCAGAGATATGGCCTTCGGCCAGGACATAGCTTAAGTCAACTTGTTACTTCTAGCAGCTATGGCCGCTGAACGCCGTCTGAATTCCCCCCTTACCACTGTGACCACCATCAGCCACACTTGAACTCGTGCACGCACGCACTTGGATCTGCCCTGAATTTCCACGCACACACACACACACACACACTGTTGTCGTCAACAAGCTGTCGGCTATGGCCGCCGTCGTCTTCCTCTGCCTTCGTCGTCTTCGGGCACCTGCAGACCTCCTTGCACAAGTCGAACCAACAGTGCATCCGCATGGCTTGCAGGCAAATGAATGAACGACTGAGCGCTGCCTCTTTATTTGTACTGTTTTGTCGGTGGTCTGGCCTGCCGCCAGTCCCAGGCCCAAACGTGTGCAGCCCCACCTGATACTTGCTGACTGGACAAGGTGGACTAGGACTGGGAACTGCTGACTGGACTAGGTAGACTGACGGACTGACTTCCACAGCCTCGAAAGGTCAAGTTGACGCTTCTAGAACTCCCTAGGCTAACATAGGCTGACCCTTCGCTGTACGTAGGGCTAACCTTCTGGACTGACCCTAAGACTACTAATCCTATAGTCTACGGTTCGAGTCCCCATGACCCAACTAACATGCAGAACGACGACCTACGACTGTAGGGACAGGTCGTGGGTTCAAGGCTGTGCTGAAAACCCAGTAGGACCGGGGGGTCCTCCCCCAATCGGAACCGGACCGGTCCTACCGGCTGGTCGACCGGGCCGGTTCCCCCCCGGTTGGCTGTAGCGCATGTTTTTTTTTTTTTTTTTTAGCCCATGGTGTTGTTGTTGCCAAGGACTAGACCCACAGTGATTGCTGGCAGTGGCAGCCGGTGGTTGTCCTGACAGGATAGGCCACCTTCCCTACCCATCCCCACGTTGATGCTCCCAGCGCACCCTATCCCTACTATCCTGTCAGGACCATCGACAAGCACCCCCTAACACTATAACCCCCACCCTTCTTTTCAAAGTTTTTGGGTGGGAAGCACCGTCCCTACCCTGCCACGAACACCCCAGTGTGACCAGCACTCAGGACCATCACCCTACCAGTATTGAGGGCAACTTGGACGAAGCACCCCCTAATACTACAACCCCTACCCCCCTTTTCAAAGTTTTTGGGTGGGAAGTACCGTCCCT